TCTCTGTTGCATGTCAGCAACACTGACACACTCAGATCAGTATATTTTGCCTATTTTCACTATTTAATGAAATGTGGAATAATTTTGGGGGGAAATTCATCAAACATCAAAAAGATATTCACTTTACAAAAGAAAATTGTTAGATTATTGGCTGGCGTCAAACCTAGAAATTCATGTAGAAGTCTGTTTTAGAGATTAGAAATCTTACCTCTTCCATGTGAATACATATTCTCATTAATGAATTTTATTGTAAATAACCAAGAACTCTTTCAAACTAATTCTGCTATACACCGTGTCAACACAAGGAACAAAAATCAGCTTCATAGACCAATTGCCAATCTCTCATGTTTTCAGAAGAGTGCATATTATGCAGGGATCAAAATTTTCAACAGTCTACCATCAAATCGCACAAGTCTTGTAAATAAAAAGGCACAATTTAAACCAGCATTGAAAAGATACTTAATTACACACTCCTTTTACTCTTTCGATGAATTTCTAATGTTTACAAGTAAGTTGTAATTTATCTATTGTATATAATGGGTGGATTTATTTGTAACTTATCTCTACTTCATGTCATCTGACTAACTTATGGATCCATGGAATGTAATAAAGATGTATGTATGTATGTATACAAAACGCTGTACCTTGTCTAATCTCCAATCTTTCTGGGGGTCTTCTTTAGCCATATTTTCACACTGAGACAGCAATCGCCTGAGGTTGACTTCCAATTTTGACATTCCCATCATGTGTGTAACACTTGTGAACACTTTTCTACACAAAGCCTGTTCATATGCAGTCAAAAATATTATCACACTATGAAGCAATAGAATCTGTAAGCACCATAAAACTTAAATTACAAACTTATTACAACTTAGTTTCTTCCACGCACATTTATATTAAAAAACACTTGAACATGACTTGTCTTCTGGGACTTAACACCATGTAGTCTGGTAGATAATGACTGAGATTAATAGGAGCTTACTGCCTAATGGAGTCAGAGTCTACTAGACTACATTGTGCTACATCCCAGGACACAGAAACCTTCATGTTTGTCAATGTGAGAACATAAAGTTTGATCTAGAAGGAATACTTAAATATCAGAACTGGATGTAAGTGCAGGCAGAAGGAAGGTCGGTTGAAAATTATATACCTCTTTGATATGGATTCTCACAACTGATTTTAACCTCCTGCAATGTTGGTACTGTCAAGCCATTTGTAAACATGAATATATGGGCATAGAATTAACTGAAATTAATTATCTAATAAGCTGTTCCGTGCAAAAATTTCGGCAAGAAGTTTTAGTCGGTTCATTCTGATGGTACAATTATTAAGTTTCGTTAGAAATACCAAAGCAGTGACGTAAGGTATAGAAGTCACCTGTGTGAATCCAAATTAAAACTGATATCGGTCATGTTACATTGACGTAGGTTATGTGGCTGTTAATTGGAATGCAGATAAAATTACTGAACAGCATATATAAGAAAATACAAAACTTTTTCATTTCCTACGAAACTCACAGCTGACCCTTAACATCTGCAGCTCAGCCCACAGTGAATATTGTGTTGTGGATCTACATTTCACACGTACTCCTACAAAATAACAAACAGCTCACACACTGCTGCTAAATGATAACGGGTTCTAACCAAATGTGTTATAATATTTGTACAAGAGCAAAAGATTGTACATACTATTTAAACATTGGTTAGGTTGTATACAATAAACACAAAAACATTATACGTGGTGAAAAAGAAATTTCAAGTTCAGTGGAGGTAAAATTTGGCGAAATTACTTTCTGTTCATAGTAAGGGTCGCCAACTTTGTACATTTTCAAATCTCGGGACCATTACAGCAAAAGTACACCAAATATTAACAATAATGTTCAAAAATCTGAATTATATTTAATGTGTTCAAATAAAATTAGATTATAAACGTATAATCCGGATCGGTGAACACAGTTTATAAGTGCGTCTTTGCCTCTTGGCATTCTAAATGCTCCTATCTGTTCCCGAACAATATCGTGACCAATATTGTATAATGAACGCGGATTTTACAAAAAGAAATATCCCTCTTAAACAAATATTTTCCCTAAAAATTTATACTTGGTTTTAATGACATGTAATTTATTTTGATGCTTGTAGTGACGTACGTGAGGAGGCTAGGGCTCGATTTTGGGCTGTTACGCCATAGTAGTAGTAGTGACGTACGTGCATTACGCTATCTGAAATATTACTCGACACAAAACACTTCACAACACTCACGAGTAATGCATAGGTTATATTTGTTTGTAAAGGAATCAATGATTAAAAAATCTGGGCGTAAATTTACTGCAGAAGATAGATCGATATTAACAGAAGTAAAGTTTCTGAAGAACATGTCGGGAGATGTATAAGACGGTGGATTTCTTTACCAGCTGAGTGACTGCAAGTTTCTCACTAAGAATTATGTTCCATCAGTTTGATTAACTTCATAATGGACAACGGACAGACGACACGAATCCCGGAGCAATGCGTTCATTTCGATACAATCGTTCACACTTAATTCGTTTTCGATACTATCGAACTTAAAGGAAAATTAGGAGCGTGGATTTTAATTACGCCTATAAAAATCTGTGGCGCCCCGTTCGACATAATCGATACAATTCGATTCGATCTTAACGGGGAAAAAAACGGTTCTCACTGGATCAAAAATTAAAATACTTTTGACAAGTTTTGATGCAGGTTTCAAATTGCAATTTTTTTATTTAAATGCGGACAGACGGATGAGACTTCCACGTTAAGCGCTCATATTACGTATCTCACACAAGAATGGTCTATCGATTGTGCTCGGGGTGTGAACCTACCGTGGCATCTGCCATTCCTCGTAAAATTATATAAGACTTACTGCCCTGATGATGGAGGCAGAAAGAACCTCCGAAACATCGATACACTTCTACCGCGGCGCTACAACTCGGATTCACCGCCCGGGGAACCTCAAATCCTACTAAGACTTGAAATGTCTCATTCGGCAATCATAAACATACTTTCAATCTTCTACCACGCGAAGTCCCTCGTATGTTATCCGCGTAACCGAATGTTGCAAGGTTCTACTGGCCACGTGTTCAACAGCGTCTTACAGTGAATAGCTTATGTGGTGCTAGGCTACCTAAGCGGTACACTTGTCAGCGTACCGGCCTTGCATTCAACGGCTAATGGGATCGTTTAAGTAATATCAAATATAAAAATTAAAATTAAATTACAAGAAAAAATAGCCACCCGAAACGTCGAGACTTCGAAACACACTTTACACAACGTACTACGTCCAGAATAATCCATACATATATAACAAATGTAAGCAGCTTGATTGGTTGGTGATTAGCTGGCGTTGAGACGTTTTGAGTCTTGTGGGATAATATTTACGATCCCGTACATGTATATATACACAACATAGGCCAGTTGTTATGGCCTCAGAATAATATCGTAAGATCGCACTATATTAAATGAGATACATCTTTAATTATGCAAAGATAAGTAAGTACCGATATTAATTTTCTTAAAAAAAATAACTTAATTTTAATCTTACACGATACTCGGCGCGAACAGAGCACTGGAACAAAAGACTGTTCACTCGTCCATGGCCTAATCTGTACGAGCATTTCTGCTCAACGCAGCAAAATAGATATTTACGTGTTTAAGCTTCGCATCTTTCGTTATTTTATTTTTTATTTAGTGTTCTGTCTGACGACAGGTCCATATGAACAGGATCCTTCCATCCTTTTCTCGGACTGGGACCTGTTCATATACGTTCTTGGCAGATGATCCAGAAGTGGTTTGCCATTGCCTTCTTCTGTGTGTGAATGGGATGCCACGGAGAAACCGGGGAAGCCCCCGGAGGAAAACTCCGTGTTGCCTAGACCACGGCCTTGCCCAACACAAGTTATAAATTCGGGCACCGCCGGCAATCGAACCCGAGACCCCAGGATTACAAGGCCAGCGTTCTAACCGCTAGACCACCGTGGCGGTTGTTCTTAAGTACCCATGCATTTTTCTTTATATATGAAACGGTAAATACCTATTTTTTGTATTAGTTTATACTCAAAATTCAACACGAAAATAAGACATTTTGATGACGTAACTATGATTTATTGATAAATATAAAAATGTAAGAATGAGACTGTTCACAGTCGTTTTTCTTTAAATAAACGTAAGTCTAAATTAAACTTTTTAATGAAATCAGGAAAAGATAATCATTTTTAGCATCTGAACCGTTGAAGATTTATTAATATTTGATTAATTTCTATTTTGTTACGCTCTATCGACAAATGCTGCAACTCAGGAATACACTCACAGTTACGCGTGTAGTTTATTTTAACGTAAATAATCCAAAAGTAAACGGACAGTAGTCGATTTACTTTAAAAACAACAAAACACCTATATTTAGTCATTAAATTCCTTCTAAACTGATGTGATCTTTACCCAATAATACTCCCCCTTTTGAATTCAGGTTTAAACTTATGACCCACAGTCACCTACAGTCGAAATTCCTAGGAAGTCCTCATTTCAACGCTACGAAATATCAACTATTTCATTTCCTTACATATCGTTAAATTGAAAATATAAAAATTAAAACATGAAAAATATCTGTAAAAATTAATTATAATTATCTACGCGTAGTTAAAAGGAAGGAGACTTTGAATTCATGAAATATTTCAGTCCGGAACCTTGTAGCTCATTCTCATTTGCAAACCCCTGTAAAATGTAAGGAACAGGATGAAAGTGGCTAAGAATTATATTCAACGGCGCACTATCTCATTATCGGTTCAAAATTCGGATTACTTCATCATCAGAGTAGAAACTTATTGCGGGTTAAACAAAAGATATTTTGTTTACTGTGTAATTGGGATTCCATCGGGTGCACCAGACTGCAATTAAACACTACGCACAGGTGAGACATCTGGTAGACGAATCCCAGTCCCTGTCGCCACCTGTGTCTCATTATGAGGCCCGCGTGCCGTGTAGTGCCCAAGGATACAGACGCGTGTCTCGCATTCCTCGCTTGAGTTACGAGCTGACAGATCTGCTCTCCCGAAGAGCCGCGGGCTAATTATCAGATCGCGACAAGACGACGGGAAAGTTATTATTAAACTTCCAGCTGATTTCCTTAACCCTTTAAAGTCGGGTGGTAAGTACGTAAGTACCAAATGCTTTAAAAATCGACGAATATGCCTTTTTATATTTATGTGTTTCGATTATATCCTTAAAATGGGTTCACCGGTTCATCATTGTAATGGTGAAGTGTAGTGTTTTCTTTGCGGTAGGGGCTCAATTCTTAAATAATATTATTTAGACGGGACCCAACCAACCAAATTCCTTCGACAACTTGCCTGACAGGATATATACTTTCTACGGAACAATACCAACAATATATATCACAATTCATCAACAAAAATTCTTTTACAAATTTAACACAGAACCCTACACCACAATATCAAAAGGAAATCCAAAAAATAACCCAAAAATGTAAAAACATTTTTAACCCCCCAAAAACTCAATATTATAATTACAGCGCGACTTCACCCACAATTACAGGACTCATAAAATTACACAAAAATCCCTATTCTATTAGACCATTAATAAACTGGACATCAGCTCCTGCATACAAAATTTCATCAAAAACAGCCACTCTCTTAAAAGAATACTGCAATTTACCAAATACATTCAACATAAAAAATTCTATAAATTTAATTAACGAACTTAATGAACTCAATCTCAATAGAAAGTTACATATGTGTTCATTCGATATTACAAACATGTACACTAATATCCCTACAGATATATTACAAGATATCATCCACAATATACTAAATAAACAAAACCTCGATACACAAATAATAAACGAAATTAAAATAATAACAAATCTTATTATTAATCAAAATTATTTTCAATTTAATGACAAATACTGGCAACAAAATACTGGACTACCTATGGGTGCCCCCACGTCTAGCATATTATCTGAAATATTCCTCCAATACTTAGAACATAATAATATAATAAACATTTTAAATAAAAACCATATCCAATACTATAGCAGATACGTAGATGACATATTAATAATTTACAATACGGAAAAGACAAATATTCAACAAGTACTTAACGAATTTAACAACATAAATCAAAATATTCAATTTACAATAGAACTGGAACAAAACAATACAATAAACTACCTAGATTTAACTATAATTAGAAAAACAAAAAGATTTGAATTCAAAATTTATAGAAAACCAACTACAACAAGCACCATAATACATGCCTCTTCTTGCCACCCTTTCGAACATAAACAAATGTCCATCAATTACTTACTAAACAGAAAAAACCTATATCCAATATCTACAAAAAACAAACAAATAGAATTAAACATCATCCAACAAATTCTCAATGAAAACGGATATAATAATCACAAAATAAATATAAAACCTAATAAAACAACAAAACCTAACGAAAATGAAAACATACAAGATAAATGGGCCACTTTTACATACATAGGTAAGGAAACCAAATTCATAACAAAACTATTTAAAGAAAACAAAATAAAAATCGCTTTCAAAACAAAAAACACAATAAAAAACCTCCTCAAACAAAAACCACCAATAAACATAAACAATCAATATAACTTACCGGGTATTTACAAATTAAAATGTAAAGACTGTCCTTTAACATATATAGGACAAACTGGCCGCACTTTCACACATAGATACAAAGAACATATTGCAGCCATAAGACACAATAAAGACAGTTCTGCATACGCAAAACATATTCTAAATACAGGACATGCATATAATACAATAAACGAAACAATGGACATATTAAAAATAGTACAAAACAAAAACCATAGGAATACAATAGAAAAATATTACATACAACAAACATATAAACAAAACATTTGTCTAAATGACAATAACATATTCCTTAATAACCCCATCTTCAATGCACTACAGATCATTAACCCCAACCCCGACAGCCACCTTTCACTTACTCCTTCCACAAGCAACCACAGTCAGTATTGACCCACACCTATACGATGACAGTCGTACTTCTGGACATATCGGAACATACAATCAATCCTACATCTAAGGTATGTTTTATTTGTTTTTATTTATATCTTACTGATACTTTTATCTATAATGTATATATTTTGCATTTTACTCTCTAAATTCTTTTATAAATTCTTTCAAATTCTTTAGTGTTTCTTTCAATCTTCTACTTACAGACCGATATGTACATCTGATTAAATTTAAGAAAAGACAACACCTCGCCCAAATTCGAAAAACAAATGGCATAAAACATCACCAAATGGAATAATATTTGAGTTTTAAGTTCGAAAATCTTATACACCTGAAGATGGTTTTATAAAAACTGAAACATGTTGTGTAAATGTTCCGAAATGTAAATCGATCAATCGATATGGAACATCAATGATATTTTATTATCTTAATTATAAGAAATTTTAAATATTGTGATAAGACGGATTAAAATAAATAATTGTTATAATATTCACAATATGACGCAATTACAATATCTTATTAATTATTTTTGTCAATACATTTCTGTTTCTTGTTTTTAGAGATTTCTTCTGTGAATCATCTTTTCTGCAAGAGATTTTCCAGTTGGCTCAGTGCCAACATTTTCGAAAGCGAGACAATGAAATTATGGCGACCATAATACAAGAGGTCCTGTCGGAACTCAAATGTCGTGTATGCATGGAATATTTTCAGCCGCCCATATTAATTTGTGCTAATGGCCACTGCTCCTGCAACAATTGCAGATTACAAGTGAAAAATTGTCCGGTCTGCAGAGGTACATTTCTGAATGTCAGAAACACTGTTCTGGAGAAAGTGATCACAAAATTGATCGGCCGATGCAAAAACCACACTTTCGGATGCAATGCGACATTCCCAAAATATGATGAGACGATTAAACATGAAAAAGTCTGCCCACAGCAGCCTTACGAGTGCCCCATGGAAGGATGCACTTGGAATCGTCCCCTTGCTACGATGAAGAGCCATCTGAAGGAGAAACATGGCGCCTCCGCCGGTAAAGAATGTGGTGGAGGCGTCAGTTCTTTGAAAAACTTTGGGGATAATTCTACCTGGCGTTTCGTAAAATTATTTAAGTCTGAAATATTTGTCCACGTGTCTGAAGTCAGAGGCGATACGCTTTATACCTGCGTGTTTCACGTTGGACACGAGAACGAATCTGAAGAGTTTGGATATTTTGTGGAAATCAGCCGAGCAGCGGGGAAGGAACAGGCATCAGCCAAGCACACAGTTCGGAACTACGAGAATGATTTTGATGAGATTGTCATCTCTGACAACTGCGCTAGTTTCAATTACAATTTTGCCAAGAAGTGTGCCTTACGTGGCAACAGACTCGAAATGAAAGTTCAAATCCGTTCTTTGGACACAAAGGACAGTCTCACATCATGAAATACAAAAATATATTCAGAGAACTTCAGCGACACAAGTTTAGTTGGCCAAACCAGAAGCTTTGTCTTATTTATAAAGAGTGGACCCTCCTATGGAGTGAGTCCATTATCCTCGGACAATAAAGCACGATCCGAAATGTTAAATTGTAAATGAATTTAATTAAAAGCGTAAGATACATTATTACAATTAC